ATCTTCCATCCTCCATCCATCCTTCATCCACATCACTTCTGGGGTCTCTTCTCACCCAGGAGGTGCTCAGGAGGTATCCTGGTCTGATACCTGAATCATGGAGGAGCAGCGGCTCTCATGACCGAGCTCAGCAGCCTGTCTCTCCCGGAGAGTCCGGGCACCCATCAGAGGAAGCTCATTTCTGACATGTTTTGTCTCACTCTGAGCTCATGGTCAGAGAATCATAGATCCACAGCTGCACTCGGCTTTACTCTCTCCTCAGAACAGCAGGCAGCGTCCACATCACTGCACCAGTCCGTCTGTCCATCTCTGCTCCACCCACTCCTCCCTCATTTATCAGACCTGAGTATTCAACTTGTGCAGACACATGTTGCCAAGCCAGAGTAGGAATTCCACCGTATGAGCTGGAGGCCACCACCTGATGGAGCCAAAAAACCCATCATCCACAAAAACAGAGACTAGATTCTGAGAGCACCGAACCAGACGACCTACACCTTTGGGCAGGATCCTGGTGGAGACCAGGACCAGGTGTAGGTGATATGAGACAGGTTCTCAGTTTGGTTGTCTGTGGAAGTTCTTGGTCCAAAGCAATTCAACTGGAGGCAGCTGGACAAAAATGCAAAGATTTCATATTTGTGTGTTTTGTGTAGATCACAGCAAAAAAAGAGAAACAAACAAACAAAAAAAACAGAAGAAGAAGAAGAAGAAGAATTTTGTCTGTCTGAACAAATCTGTAGATTAAGTTTAATGAATATTTCGTTGATGAGTCAGCGGTGACACCTTAACCCCGGGAATCAGAATTATTATTATTAATAATAATAAGATAAAGAGCAGATGAAGATGACTTCTCCTCCTCACAGGTTTGGCTATCAGACGCCTACTCAGTGTCAAACTACCACAGACAAGCAGGGCTCTACAGGAAATGAGTCGATTTTACCTTTCAGATTTAAAGCATGTTTTAATCACCTGTGAAATAAAAGGACTGTTCCCACTGTTACTTCACAGCAGTGAGGGTTCAAATCCACCTTCTGGCCTTTCTGTGTGGAGTCTGCATGTTCTCTCTCTCTGGGTCCAAATGCAGTCGCTGGGCCCTGAAATGGACACGAGTAACAAATACTGGAAGCCTTCAAACATCTAGTCTAGATACATTAATACATAGAACATGAATCTGCTTCACACATCAAAGTTAAATAAGGCATCCTGGTATCCTGGTACCGGTCCGAGGCCTGGGGGTTGGGGGCCGCTGCTGTAGATGTACGTACAGTTAAAGATACTCGAACAGCTGCAGCTTTTCCTGAACTGAAACTCAGGAAGAAATAATTAAATCTGCAATAAAAGATATTTTTTGAGACGCTGCCCCCTGGTGGCGAAAGTGAAATTCTGCAGAGGGTGACTGCAAAAAGTACCTTTAACAACCCCCCACCCCACCGCCCAATTTACATACACGGGAGGGTTGGGGCCACAGGTTTTATTTTGAAAGTCCAGAGCGGAAGCTGCAGCTTTCGTGTACGTGCTGCTTCACGCTGGTCCTCGGCAGTGAGAGCGAGGCAGGCAGGCTGCACGCCGCTAGGAGCCCGGAGACACTTTCCCGGAGGCACGGAGCCCCGCCGCGCGGCTCTCTCGGTACTTTGGGGTCGTTTCGGTCTCTGCTTCGGGGTGTGGACTCGGGGCAGACTTGGCGGGACCGGATCCCGGTGCGAGGCGGACTGGAGTACCCCCGATGGTGCATCTCCACAGGAGCGCATAGGAGCGCAGGACGAGTCTCCCCCGAAGGTAAGGTGTTCGTTTCCCCCTTCACGAATCCACGCGGCGCGGCTCAGACGCGTCCACGCGCGCAGGTCGCTCCCACGTCCGCCCAGCCGGGCTCGCGCTACTGATGCGCGCGAAGCCAGCGCACAGGGCGGCCGTGCGGACGCGTCGCTTCGCGGTTAGAAAGTTGGAAAGAGTGCGCAACACTCCCGCGCGGAGGGGCGCAAATGCGCAGGTGAGTGCGCCCGTGTGCGCCTGAGAGAGCTGCTGCTTCAGTTCACAGACACCATCACAGCAGCTGCTGGGATTCTCCGTCGTTCTTCATTTTCTGCTGACTGCGGCTTTATTGGATGTTCTGTCCGCAGAGCTCAGCGTGAGTTTGCGCTCATATCTATTTAAGAAGCCGTGGCCGCGTAACCCGATGCCAGGTTTGAACCGCAGATATTTTATAGATCGATACGTTTGTGCTACAAGCAGCTTTGTCTAATTCCAAATTAATTATGAGGCAAAGTGAGAAAGTGGCCCCGATGCTCCGCAGCCGTACGGAGCGCAAACCGTCCTCACTCTGTGCGCCGTAATTAGTTGAAATGATCTGTGTGGCGACAACAACAAATCGAGCGGAAGCGTGATTATTTCCTTCACAACACCGAGGCTCCATCTGATAAGAGAAGTAAACTGTAGTTAGGTGGAGGTTCAAACGGAGTGACGTAGAGTTAAGCTGTACAACAACGTCAAAACATAGACTGTACATAAAAGATGGGTGTAGGCCGGGGTCTCATTGCAGAGGGATGAAGGGGGGACGCAATAACTGTGCTCCTGTATGAGTGTCCCGTGTCTCTTCGGGCAGATTCAGCCCGAAGAGACCGCAACTCCCATCATCATCATGAGCAGCTGTAGTCTGTGGAGTCTCTCCCACCCACCGTGGGTTGAGAGGATCTGGGCTAACTGGTTAGCGGCAACTAAATTTTCAAAATAAGAGCAAAAAGACTGTCATCAATTTCAGTGAAATCATAAAAATGAACAGAAGATGTAAAGGCTACACGTGGGAAACACTGAGTGTTGTGGATGAAATTGTGGGGCCCACAGGAAGGTTTTGCCTTGGGGTTTGTTAGTTATTTAGCCCGGCCCTGTTCACTGGTAGTTGCTGACTGCTGCTATTTCCACTTCCTGTACAGGTTGGGCACAGAGACCCCGATTTGGGGGGCAAACCCAGATGAAGATGGAGTCGTTTACCTTCTGCAGGACTGTCCTCATCTTCTTCATGTTTCCGTGTGTCCAGGTAATGAAAGCAGTGTGGACAGAGTCTACTTTTATTCTACTTTTATACAGTCACCACCCTCACTGTTGCACAAAAACATGGAGCCAATCAGAGCGGAGAAAGTCAGGGTTCAGACGCGCTGTGCACACAGCCTCTGACGTTAGCTCTGCTGTTTAATTCGAGCTGACCCGTCCAAATCAAATAGTTTGCACAGGTCGAGAGGCTGCCGGGCAGAGCGGCGAGCCGGCTGCAGTCTTTGTACACGAGCACGAGCTGGGGTAAATGTCACCTCCTTATATGAAGCAATTGCGAGCGCAGGATTTTCTCTGGCAAATATAGTAGCTGGTTAATCCCTGACAACAGGCTGCTGTGGACCCGGTGCTCTCCATGATCAGCTCTGCAAAGAGGTCTTTATTTGGAAGCCGTTGGCGTGTTAGCGAGAGGAAAAACAAACACATTGCTGTATTTTTTACTTTGATACCGAGTCCCCTGCTGTGCCTGAACCCTTTAGGGAAGAACAGATATTTGTTGCATCTATTTTCCGGGCGCTGGGACTTCAAACCTTGCATGTTTACTATTGATCGCTTTGCTCTTCTGGTGAACTGGAACTTTAGATTTGAAGGCTTAGTCAGGCTGCTCATAGAGACAGATGCAATTTATGCTTTTATGTTTTTAAACATAAAATGAAGCTGATTGAATAAGAAAGAAACGATGCAGTAAATGCCGTAAATGTTGGTGTAAAATGGTGAAAATCAGGAAAAGTCAGCCGGCCTGTGCACATCAAAGCCTTTCAAGTACCTCCAGCAGCGTGACTTTTTAAATGTTTTGTAGGTGGAGCTGAACTGGAGGCAGTCGCAGTTTCTGTACAAAAGAAACTCCAAAGATTTATAAATATGTTGAGGTTTAATGTGCGGGCTGGTCGGTGGGGCAGAGGACTGATGTGCCACCTACAGCACTGCTCACGGCTTGGGCATAAAATGCAGCAGTTCAAGATGTGAGCTGTGACAAACAGGACAAATTATACAGTGATGGATGTCTAACAGTTAGAAGCTACACAGCATAAAGCTAAACTGCTGCATGTGTTGGAGAAAGTTGACAGTAAGAAACAAACGTGCCATCGTCAGTGATCCAAACACAAATGGAAAACTGTGTTTCCCAGTGTTTCCGGAAGCGTGAGGAACAGCCCGTGTCGCTTACAGTGTGGATGTACTCTGCTCCATCTGACCTCCATAATTAGATCTCACATGTGAGCAGACCTTTGGTAATTTAATAAATAACATACAGAGTTATTAAGGTGTTGGTGGATGGATTCATGGATGAATGTATGGAATTGAATGATGAATGGATGGACAGATGGATGGACGGAGAGATGGGGTGGCAGTAAAGCAGAAGATTGTTGGCTGCTCTCAGTCTGCACGGGCAGGAGAGTATCCCAGGTTTCCCTCCGATGCGTCCTCGGGAGTCTGGATGTGTGAATGTTGGTTAGGAAGCACTGAGATAGACGCAGGAGTCCAGAGAAGCTGATGAAGGTGAAGCTGAGATCCTTTTTGTTGGCTCCCTTCAGATGTTCTGCTGTTATTGTGTCAGGGCCACTTTGTTCACCGCCAGTTTCTCAAGAGCATAACTTACTTCATCCGGTCTAATAAGGACACTGTCATTGTTAGAAATGTGTGATATATTTTGCAGGGTCCCCATAATGCTTTCCCATTAATTCTGGATGACAGAGGCATGTTACGATTGTCCTGCTGCAGCTTTCTGGTCCTGGAAGTTGCCCTCGTGCTCAGTGTCTCAGTAAAGCACACAGCATATTTATGTGACGGTCATTAATAAATTAATGTACACCATCAATCAAAAACCTCTTGTGATTTCCCAAAATGTGATGTCAGCAGTTTGGGACCCAAAAATTTCTCACTTTTGGGGTTTATGTGAGTTTTCTTTTTTGTAGTTCGAAGCCTTAAACTTGCATTTTGTCTCGTGGCCAGCAGGGGGCGAGTCCTCTTCCTGTAAAAAATAAGATCGATAGTGTAGAAGCGTTTGGGAAAACGTCCTTTGGTCCTTCTTCAGTCCTGTTAGAGTCAGAGAGGATCCAGCGTTTGCTCAGGTCATTCAGTTTCAGGAAGATGGAGACAGTCTAAAGGCTTTAAGACCCAGAGGGTGACGTCGGGGTGGACGCGTGTGACCATAGTTACTGCTCTGGTCTTTCCTTTCACATCATTGTCCTTCCAGTCAGGCTGTAATTCTCGCGACCATCATACTCTTCTTTATGCTCCATTTTTATGACTTTATCAGATGAGATACAAACTGTGCTGACAGCGACATCAGAGAGAGCGGCTGTTCCTGATTAATACATCAGCACATTTCCAAATGAATTTGTCTCTTTGCTGTCAGTGGCCCGTGTCCGACTGATTATTATCACAGTGCTTTTTCACCATCTGCTCCTTTATCTGAGTCTGAAAACACACTCAGATCTGCAAAAACCCCATAAAAAGCCGACAGCGCTCAGCGCAAACCTGCTGCTGCTGACAGGATCTAATTAGTAGCACAGCTGCAGGACTCTAATGTGTAAATAATAAAGACTGAGAGATGTGTGAGGTCCACAGATGCTGGTTTTATATTGAAGGTGCTTTTAGCAGAAGGTAATCGATGACGAGCTGACACGCCGTTATTGCAGAGTAATGCTCAGACCATCTTTTATCCCAGGAAAGCGACACAGTCCCGGGTGAAAAACAACAGCCTGTGGGCTGTGGGCTGTCGTTGTCCTACACTTGGATTTATTTGATGATTCACCATCCAAATCATATAAACTTCAGTACAAGCTGCTCTACAAATGCATCTGGCGCTGTTTGGAGTCAGCTGATATGAGGGGACTGGCTGCACTGATTGGTGATTTGGTGTCTTTGGAGCAGCAGATGGATGAACCCTCTGAGAGAGGCCCAGGTTGTTCTCGTGGCTCTGTGACCACGTTAGCCACACGATCATTTATTATCGTCTCTCTGCGAAAACTCACCGAACACAAACAGATCGTCCGAAAAGGGATCGAGTGTTGTGAAAATGAAAGTGTGTGGTCACACTTTGACACCTGAAAAGTACCCAAAAAATGAGCTTGATTTGATGTTTTTGTATATGATACAAAATTAAGCTACTGTGGAACCACTGACGTCCAGCAGGGGGAGCAGTGAGTCTGTCCCCATAGACTCCCATGTTAAAACTT